GCAGACGGTGAAAGCACCAGTATCACAACCTAAATTCAGGGAGGTTTGATTGTATATACACTTCCTGTACAATGACACATAGCATTCTGTGGTTCTGGCAGATGTAGATATACACTATCAAAACCACAATCTGGCTTTGTGCCATTTTGCAATTTTTTGATGATTGCTGTGAGGAGCATATCACATTTAACATACTGATACAAGCATAAAACAATCATTTGATTCACTTTGACCAACTGGAATATTCTGGGACTCCTATTAACCTTCGTTAACGTAAACCAAGTCTGTGACCAATACAAATTATGCCCTGGCTGTAATTCCATGAGGAACAGATCAATATAAATTTTCAGTTTTCAGTATGCTATGAATAGTTTTTTAAAAGCCATTTTGAAAGCCATAATTTTGTATCTGTCATTGTCATTTTTTTTACGACAGAAGTGGTGAAGCATTGCCTTTATTTTTGTTCCAGGACACCCAGACAGATAAAAAACAGTTTTATTAAGAATTTTCCACATATTTGTTGTAGTTTGCATTTAATTGACTGAAATATAGTGGTGACTATAGTTGTTTATTTGAGCAATATCATTTCATTCAGTGTGGTGACAGGAAGTTGGCTGTACACCTGTAATCTTTATTCCGTTTTGAATTTTGTATATATGTTGTTTTATAAATTCTGAATGATAATAGCAATTTAATGTTTTTAAAATATTCAAATCATTTGCTTACCCACTATTTAAATGGCCATTGCCTTACATTACAACCCTAAACGCATGTCCTCTACAGTGCACGGATGTGTAATCCTCTGAAAAAAAAGAAAAAGGGGAAAAAAAGATTAGAAATAGTTATATGCTTTTTTGAAGTGTAAACACATAAAGATTTTGCTTTGAGATGAATGCATTACAGGGTTGTTTTGCCCATTACGGTGCTTTTCATAACCAAATGTCAACATTCAAATACAGTCAAAAAGCTTTGTTTCTACAGTTACACAAGGAATCTTTATTCAGTAATGTTTGTTTAGGGGGGTTACATTTACACAGTGCCCGGAGTGCATTCTTTTACATTAATGAAAACTATTGTTTTGACCTCACCGCTCTCTCTCCACATCTTATCAATCAGTCCTTCTTGCTTGGTTTCTAACAGCTTTCCTACAACATAGACCAGCAGGTCATAACACTTACCCATATGTCTCTCTTAGTCCCACTCTTTCAGTGTCCTCCTCTTTCTCCATGCCTCCATGTTCTCTCTATTTTTATTTATTCATTTATTTATTTGTACTTTCTGACGGCTTGCCAACGCACTGTTATTTAATGTATCACTCTTAAGTGCTCTTGCTTAATATTCTATTCTACTCCACAATCAGTTTTTCTTCTCTCTTTTTATCTTTCTCCCTCTGCAGTTGATCAGATCATTGCATGCAGCAGCTGCTATCAAGCTTGTTCTGTTTGTTCCTGTGTTATGGAAATTCAAACTAAACAGCTGAAGTGTGATCTCCTCAGTCTGATGAGACTGATACTCACTCCATCCTCAAGCATACTATAATATGCAAAACCTAGAGAAAAAAGTGGGTTCATTACTTTCAAAAGTCTGCCTAACAAGACTTTGTTTGTCTCTGTTTTGATTAAATCAGTCTACAACAGCTTGCTTCTATCATCTTTATTTAAAAACAGTGATTCGGTGAAATATTTAGTGCATTATGAAATAAATGTCTGTTTTTAAAGTGTCTTCAAGTGATTTTTCTCTGTACTTTGATCCATAAGTCAGAGGTTCAGCTGCTTAACAGTGAGGAATGTGAAGGAAGATAAATGATATTGTGGAAGTCAAACAGGACTAGCCCCTTTCCCCTTCCATCTCATAGTGCTTATCACGTCATTATTTGAGGGACAGGAGTTACGGAGGCTTCCTTTAGTGATAGTAAATGATATGAACCACAAAAACAGGGTACAAATGCACATTCCTACACAAATACCTATTATTTTCCTCTGATTGTGTGTTTCTGTCATTTATCAGTTTAAGCACACATACTGATACCGATAGCCTATACAGTGCAGAACCAAGCCAACCAAAAGGGATTCAGGATTTGTGGATGACAATCTTTAGGTATTGGTTTGTTTTAGTTGTCTGTGATCCAACCTTTGCTAGGGAGCAGCTGATATACAGCAGGAGACAGATAAAGATGCTTGGTTCCTAATTGCACAGCCTGTGACCAGTAAATAGGATGTGAGATTTGCTGGCATGCAGATCACTCAGGAAGGTTACTGAAGACCACAAGGTCATTTAAACTGTAGGCAGTGTACTGATAGAATACTGACTCTGCGTTACACTGCACTCTTAAAAATAAAGGTTCCAAAAGGGTGTTTTTGCAGTGACGCCATAGAAGAACCATATTTGGTTCCCCAAAGAACCTTTCAGAGAACAGTTCCTAAAAGAACCATTTTGAAGAACATTTTAAAGATCTTAAGAACCTTTTATGACTATAAAGAAACTTTTCTGCATTTGAAAGGTTCCATGAATGTTCAAGGTTCTTCATAGAACCATTGATGCTAATAAAGAACCTTTATTTTTAAGAGTGTGCACTAAGAAATTATCACAAGAAAAGAAATATTACTAAAAAAAAAACGTAAAAACTATTGTGTCTGTGGACATGAATAATTATGCTCGCATCAATCAACCTTTCGGTAGTATTATTTATTTTTCTGTTGCTTTTGATTTTGTGTCAATGTTTTGTGTTAAGATTTGATTGGTTTAATCTGTTTAAAACCACGTAAATTTGAATAGAACATTTAATTTTTAAGCAGTCTAATAGATACAATTATGCCAGTTTTCTTAATACAGTCATGGCCACTTTTAAGGTACATATTTGTACAATATTTACTTCTAAATGGTACATTTTAGTACCTTAAAGATACATATTAGTACTTTAAAAGTACATATTGGTACCTAACTAAAGTGTACATATGAGCTCTTAGTGCTTTAGTGAGGGTGGATATACTTAGAATAATTATGTAGATTAATTCAGCTCAGAAAAGCCATAAATATTTTTGACATGTTTTTTTAAAGCGCTCCCTATTTTATAGGGATGAATTCATTAATTAACAAGTCCTTTTAAAACGTTTTCAGAAAATATTTTGCTTACCTTTACTTTCTAATTTTTCATGTTGAAAAGCACTCAAGTGGCAGGGCAGAAAAAGCATCATAAGCTATTAACCCGTTTAGTTTGATAGGAATTGAAATGAAGGGAAAAATAACAAACGGATAACTTCCCTCTTTTCCGACAATAATTTGTCTAGCATCTTTCAGCCTTCTCTCGTGAGGATAACCCGCGCACTTCCTAAAATACTTTTCTGCACTCGAGATAAATCTTAGGCTAACTACAGTAAAATCCCCCTCACTTTTGACATTTCCCAAAGGACATTCAGAGTCTTGTGAAAACTGTTTATTTTAAAGATAGTCATTGTAACAGGGGTCAGACACGTTTGCTGTCTGTCCTCCAGAGTTTCACAATGTATTAAGAATTTCGCGCTGTCAAATACAAATGATTATCGCTTTAACCAAAGGAGGGGAAAACTAAGATGTACTTAATGACGTGATTTGATCTAATCTTCGCTAATTGATGGGTTTCGGTGAAAAGCGGACAATAAGATGAGCCAAAAAAAGAGATCAATCGTATCCTTAATTATTTAATCCAACACATATGAAGGAAATAGGCTAAATAAAACGATTAACATTAACCGTATGTTTACCTTAATCAAATAGGCCTACTATCCAACCACAAACCGTAATGTCCGATTCATGTTTCCCAGTAAATAATTAGCAAAATATTAATCAGTAAATGCATTGAGGTTTTATAAATCACAGGTAAAACGGTGTTAATTCTGTAATTCTGTGCGGCTGCAGATAGAGATAATGAGCTGTCCAGAGTGCTGAAGACCACGTATCGCTTTCAGATGAGGTGCCTACTTCGTATTACTATTCACGTACAGCGTTAAACCACGCAACTCTCTTTCACAGGAATTACTAAAATATTGTATCCTAAATACTTTGAATCACAGTGTAATCAAGCACTGTGGGATTTGAGTAACTTCAATAGCTACACTCATCAACTAAAGGGTAGGCTATTTCTGTATGTTTTGTATTGCAAACATTTTAAAGAAGCAATTTCACGCGTAGGCTACGATCCAGGTACTTTTTCAGTCTTCAATGATGTCATATGAATAGTTAGTTTCATATCATTAACGTCGGCATCACTATTCTCATTTTGATAAGCGTACAGTATGCTACTATACTTATTTTATGTATAGCCTACAATAATCACAAATTAATTATACAATGAATTAGCCTATACATCTCACGTGCTAAACGTGTTTAATGTAAATCTACAATAAAGTGATAAAAAATTACGGTAATTATTTTGCCTATGTAGCCTAGGCTAGATTTTAATACTGATCCTTAATACTGATCGAAATGTCCTCTAGCGGCGTTCTGCTGCTATGGTTACCCTCCTCAGGTAAACAACATTTCTCTATTTGGCGACAGGTGAAAATGTGAGAGTTTCAGCTTACTGAAATGTATTTGTGAACAATTATAAAATTAAACCTATTTAATGCACTTTTTACATTTGTTCTGCCATCCTTTGGGGGGCTTAAAGCTTAGTAGAGAGGGTCAGACCCCCCAAAAGCCCCCGTCGCACCCCGTCTCGAGTCTACAAAGAAATGACCATTAACCGCTTCCAAGGGTAATATTTCCCCACGGCTCTCGAGTTTTTTTTTCATATACACCTTAATGAAAAGAGGATATTCCACGTCATTTACTCTTTTACATCAGAAAAAAAAAGAGAGAACAACAGAGACAAAGCAACTGGGTGCGCTCTGTCACTACTAACTTTCGGTGGCATTCCCTTCTTTCACACGAGCATTCCGTGAACACAAGCGCCTTCCTTTGCTCAGAGTGAGGGGCGGGGCTTAACGCGCAACCACGCCTCCCTCGAACAACACACTACAGAGTGAGAGAAAAGCGCTTCCCGAGCGCTCAATCCTGTCACTGTACAGACATGAACCGAGCTCAGCGAGCAATAACCAAATCAATGATTTGTATTCTTCGCGATTAACACTTAATTTTTCTTTATCGCTCAAAGGTGCAACACTTTTCCGTCCCAACCGTCCTGTCTCCGTTCAGAAATCGTTCAATCGTTTGCGCTGGATCTGTCGTGCCAGAAGATGTGCGTGGAAAGCGATGGATGTGAAATCGAGGGGTGCAGCAGTTCGGATGAGGTGCACACGCTGTCTGGAAGCATGAGTCCGGCTCTTAAATCCAGTCCAGACCTGCATCCCTGCAAACCTGGGCAGAAATTCCGTGCCGCATTACTCCGATGCCGGTCTCCGCTCGTTGCCGCCGGGATTCTGAGTTTTGGAAATGTGCTCAATTACATGGACAGATACACTGTAGCAGGTAAGACCAGTATTTTCTTGGCGTATGGACGCTCGTTTTACTATCTGCCTCAGGAGAGCGAAAACCGCGCTAGTCATCATTTGTATTGTTTAATGTTTCACTTACAGAGAGGTTTCAGGTCAAACACTGACCAGGAAAATCACAATTTAAACATTAACATAAGTCAAGTGATCATTTGTGTATCTCGCTGCGCGGGTTAAAGACGGTCTTATTCTGTGTGATTTAATCAAACCATCCGGATTGAGAGGGGTAACCCCGCTGTGCTAACATGATATTGATTGGCTACTATTGTGAGTGATTTTAGGTCAATCTAATCTGACCCTCTGCCTGCCAAATGAGTGAAAACCCCAATCCTCGTGACAAGTGGTTCCATGTATAATTTTATGTCTATTATAAGCCCTTTTCAAATCAGTATCCACGTTAGACATTAGGCTCCTGTAAACAATTATTAATGGCAATGTGCCCATACAAGCAGCTCCACACAATAATTACGTATTAAGTTCATTAGTAGGCTATTGTGTGTAAATATACAACGAGACTCAAAATCACGTTACGCATTTATCAACCCATCTGATCAATATAAATGTAGGCTAATGGACATTGTGTCCAAATGTAATACGTTTACACATACCTACATAAAAATACACAGACCTCAGTTAAAGCAGTAGCGATATACTCGAGGCCATTACAGTACAATGTAATTTAGAGCAAAATTCTCGAGGGACAAATTTTATATCCGTGGTTTTATAAATAGGAACCTCAGTAGCGCTCCACACAAGATGCCCTTGGTATCAGGAATCAAGTTATTCTGGAATAAAGGCAGAGCGCAGCCGCGGTCTGACATGTTTCCATAGAAACATGAGTCCGGCTCTTAAATCCAGTCCAGACCTGCATCCCTGCAAACCTGGGCAGAAATTCCGTGCCGCATTACTCCGATGCCGGTCTCCGCTCGTTGCCGCCGGGATTCTGAGTTTTGGAAATGTGCTCAATTACATGGACAGATACACTGTAGCAGGTAAGACCAGTATTTTCTTGGCGTATGGACGCTCGTTTTACTATCTGCCTCAGGAGAGCGAAAACCGCGCTAGTCATCATTTGTATTGTTTAATGTTTCACTTACAGAGAGGTTTCAGGTCAAACACTGACCAGGAAAATCACAATTTAAACATTAACATAAGTCAAGTGATCATTTGTGTATCTCGCTGCGCGGGTTAAAGACGGTCTTATTCTGTGTGATTTAATCAAACCATCCGGATTGAGAGGGGTAACCCCGCTGTGCTAACATGATATTGATTGGCTACTATTGTGAGTGATTTTAGGTCAATCTAATCTGACCCTCTGCCTGCCAAATGAGTGAAAACCCCAATCCTCGTGACAAGTGGTTCCATGTATAATTTTATGTCTATTATAAGCCCTTTTCAAATCAGTATCCACGTTAGACATTAGGCTCCTGTAAACAATTATTAATGGCAATGTGCCCATACAAGCAGCTCCACACAATAATTACGTATTAAGTTCATTAGTAGGCTATTGTGTGTAAATATACAACGAGACTCAAAATCACGTTACGCATTTATCAACCCATCTGATCAATATAAATGTAGGCTAATGGACATTGTGTCCAAATGTAATACGTTTACACATACCTACATAAAAATACACAGACCTCAGTTAAAGCAGTAGCGATATACTCGAGGCCATTACAGTACAATGTAATTTAGAGCAAAATTCTCGAGGGACAAATTTTATATCCGTGGTTTTATAAATAGGAACCTCAGTAGCGCTCCACACAAGATGCCCTTGGTATCAGGAATCAAGTTATTCTGGAATAAAGGCAGAGCGCAGCCGCGGTCTGACATGTTTCCATAGAAACTAGAACAGATTTAATCTACTAGTTTTTATGTTGTGTCAAATTTAGCTTCCCTCAAAAAGTGCGGATTAATTCGTTTACTGAATGGGTACTCGGTGATCCGAGAGGACCTGTCAGCTGACATTCGCTCCAGCACACTCCGAGAGGGGTAATTTTCATGAATAACTAATGATAAGCGATTAGAGATTTGGAACCAGGCAAGAGTGCGCTATTAGCTAGGGATTTTTGAAACGCGGGATTTAGGATAACCGTCAATACTAGATACTGCTCTTAATCAATTTCCTTCAGCTTTACTTGTAATAGGCTGTATAACTTTGTGTGTGTTTCTTGACAAAATAACCACATTGTAGTTTCCTTAAGTTGCATCCTGAGACATAAAAACCATGTATTTGCAATTATTTGGCGGAGCTTGTACATTAAAAATGGGCAGTGTTGTTTTTCTTTCATAGATAAAAGTATCAATGTAAGCTAAATTCCTCCCATTTTTACTCAAGTGACGTAACAGATACACACATTTGTCCATGAAAAAGAAGATCATTTATCATGTTGTGCAACTGCTCATGTGAAACATATACAGTTAATCAATCTCTTGGCTTTTAAACAATGAGTTACATCTGAACAGTTTCGATGAATGAAGAGAATGAAATGGAGAATGTATATGTGTGAGATGATGACTGCAGGGAGATTGCAGAAAATGAGTCAGTTCTCAAGAGAGGAGTTGTGTATAAGTGTATGTGTTTGTCTGTGAATGCTGCAGCAGCAAACTGCATGTTGTTGAGTTTAGCATCTCTTCTACACCCCAGTTCCTGACTGATCAAGCATGTGATGTGAGGGTGAAGCCCCCTTCTTGGGTAAAGAGGGTAGAGCTGACGCAGCCATCCTGCAGTGGTGATGACCACTCTTTAGTATGAGAGAGAGAGAGAGAGCAAGAGAATGATCCACATGGCAGCTGAGACAGAAGTGGTTGTTCAGTCATTTGTCCTGCAGTCAGACTGACACAGTCATCGTATTAATGACTTTCAGCAGTGGCTTGTTTGTGGGTTTGTGTGTCTGAGGGTACATTAAGGGATAGTTCATCCCAAAACAAAAATTTTGTATGACTCCTTATTTCTTACGTATAATGCAAAAGATGGTGTTTTTTTCATAAATTGAAAGTCAGTGGAGGTCAGTGCTGTTTGGACTTTTAAAATATCTAAACATTTGTAATGATATTAGAGTGATTAAAGGTGACAGCTCTTTGTTTTGAACTATTTCTTTAAGGCTAAAAGAGTGGTTAAGCCATCATCTAGAAGTAATTCATAAAGTGTGATGTTTCAAAATTTGCAGAGATGTAGTAAAAAATGGTACATTGAATTGTGTCCACTTTAGTTTTAGTGCAGCAGTGCACTTTAAGTTGCACTCACACACAAACAAAATAAAATCAAATGTGCATGAAGTCATTGCTTTTAACACCAAACAATTTTGCATTACATTCTCAGTTAGTGTCTTATAATTAATGCAGTTCCAAGGACTGAAATTGGGTCTAAAAATTACTGTCACTGTGAAAACACTTCATTTGAGTTTTCCTGCTGTTTAAGTCATATTCATTTACTGCTAGTTTCACTTTTTACAAGCAGTTCTAGGCTGTGGTTGTTTTGGAATCTTACAGCACCAACCAAGGTCTCTCATCACTGTTAGCCAGAACCAAATGTTAATTCTCAAAAAAGAAAGGGGAAAAAGCAGTGTGTCATTTTAGCCTTGTCAGTCTTGCGTTTAATTGATTGATATGTGTGTGTGAAAGGGAACAGCAAAGCTCTAATTTGGCTGTTTTCTCCACCTAAACAAAACTAGTGGGTGTGCAGTTTTTATAGCAGAGGAGAGACAACCAATCCCTCATGAGGAACCGCATAACAGAATGAAGCACAGAGGAAGAAAACCATTCTATGTGCTGATTCTGTGGCCAAAAACTTTTGCGTATTACCTGACACAGGGTGTTTGGGTGTACTAAGGATGTAATGTGGTCACTATAGACTCTTGTGTGTTTTCGGTGGCTAGACTATCTGCTATAACTCATATCTGGCTAGTCAAAGTTATAGGAACGACTTGAGTTTATCCTTCTTTATGTTTAGCCCGAGGTGTATTTCTGCAACGCTAGGGCCGATTTGCCCACTTCTTTCACTCCCTGCTTGCCCATTATATTTGTCCACTATCTATATCTGTCTCTTTCTGTCTCCAACACAGCCTCCAGTGGGACAGAGAGATCAGATTGATGGGACTGAGGTTGTGAACCATTTAGTTTGATTAAATTTGTGGTTTGGCTGTGATGGCTCAGACCCAGGGAGGCTGGCTGGCAACAGTCTCTCCAGCAGACAGACTGAGCTCAACAACAGACTACAGTTAAAACAGGGATTAGGAGGCGCGGGGAATACCACCGGGATGTACAGATGGAGGCCACTTAACATTATTTGATCTAAGATCCTCCATTTAGCCACCGGCCTGATGCCTGCTCTAATGAAGGCAGTTCAACTGGTAATCTGGATTATGAGGTGCTGCAGATACTGAAAGGTGCATCTTTTTTTTCCTAAAGGCATCCTGAGGTATGAGGATGTTTAATCTAAAAAAAAGTGCTTAATTAAGTGTGACGGGTAATCCAGCAGCCAGAGGAGCTCCCTGAGGGAAAATGAGCATGTCTGCACATTCAGATACACAGGCTCATAGTTTATGAGACTACAGTATACTGTACGTTTTGCTGCATTGCTTTTCTGCACTAGATGGTCCAGTCTAGCTGGCTCAGCTCTAGTTCTGCCTGGACACACTCTTTGGCAGTCCCTTCTGTAAGACACACACACTCTCTCACTCTCTCTCTCTCCTCACACACATTGTCTGACTGCCTTTCTGACCTCAACAATAAGGTCAGTGTATAAATATATATAGACACGAGTGGCGTTCAGTGGTACAAATTCTCATCTCGCTCTGGAGCAGCCTGACGACTCTCAAAATAATCACTGACACAATCAAGTCCGCTAACAGCCTCTGAGAACCGGGATGCGATTTTCCCAGTTTATTTATTAACGGGCTTGTCTTTCATTCGGCCCATGTGATGTTCATTTAATGTAGCGTGGATGACCCAAACAAGGAACTGTGGTTGTTA